GAAAAAGAAAAGGAGATATTTATTGGCCCAGAAAACTAAACAGTCCAAGGGATACTGTTGGCTTCAGGCGTAGCTAGATCTAGATGCTTAAATATGTCTTCTGTCTTAGCCCTCCTCTTAGGTGTGCTGACCTCTCTTGATGACCTCTGGCACTTCCAAATTTACTTTCTTGTGGTTTAGCACCCCAGTGAAAAGTAAGTACCGCTTTCCTAATAGTTTGTTATCAGTCGGGGTCTAATCGGGAAAACAGAAACTACACTAGGTTTTTCAACACAGAGAATTTACTACAGGGAATGGGTTACACTGATGGAGTTGGGCTGAAAGAAACAGAACAGGATAACCTAGAGAATACCACTGCAGGAAGCAGCCCCCACTCCTAAAGCTGCAGGAATACATGGAAGAGGTTGGGGCTAGCAGAACCCACGGGCTTGATTTGGGGAAGCCTACAGAGGTCTGAAGAGGGGCTGCTGTTTGGCTGGTGCTAGTACCTCCTAAGAGACCCGATGAAGCTTGTCTGACTGCAGAAAAATAGCTGAGGGCTGGATCAACTGTGGCAACCAGACTGTCATTGATAAGGTTAATAAGCAAAGGAGGAAGGAAAATCTCCACCTGTCCTGCCTTCCAATGCCCCTTCTTGTCAAAGCCAGCTGACAAAGATGATGTGGTTTGTAGAATCCCAGCTCCAGTTATACAGAGCAGAGGACAGAAGGCTGCATCTGGAACTAAAAGACAATAGCTTCATAACTGACACCATCCACCCTTTTGGACAATCAGTATCCACACACATCAATCCACACGTTTGAACCTCCATCCGGCAACAGTAGCTTCCACCTAATAAGATGAAACCATCCTGCATACAATGAAGATACTCTAACCCTTTCCCTGAAAATGAGAAGAACAAGGAGTCCCACCATCCAATAGATGTATCCAGCTCCAAGAGTTAGTCATTGAATCCATTTTTGGATGATGTTAATTACTCTAATTCAGTCACAATTGCACCTGCAACTGAAAAGTGAACTGTAAAGTTGGTAATTGCCTACAATCTTTAAATAAAATAATAAGGGAAAGGAGAAGGGAGGGAAAAAATCACTTAATATCACACACACACAAACACACACACACCAAGCAAGGAAGAAGTGCAATAGACCTCCTTCTGGTAACTGGTCACAGTGCCATAGTTTTTGTTTTCTGTTTTTCTTAATTGGAGTACAGTCAGTTACAATGTGTCAGTTTCTGGTGTACAGCACAATGTCCCAGTCAGGCATGTCACAGTGTCATAGTTGATAGGTAGATAGATAAATAGATAGAGATTTATAGATACATAGATATATTCAATTGAGTACATGTTTCTCTTTATATATTATATATTTCACTAATTGAGTGAACATATAAAAAACTTCTTTCTTCCACTGTCCTTCTATGTTCCCCTTGTCCTCAACCAGGACCTTAGCTAGTTGGAGTTTATTACTAGGTAGAAGGATCCAAATAATCATTCCTGAAGGGTCTGAAGTTTCAGTGGTCCTGCATAGTTTTGGGTGCCATAGCTTTTTGTTACCTTTTACTATTGTACGTGGAAGTACGAAAGGGACCCTTGAGAATCCCCTGGGTCCCAGACATGGTCCTCCTTGCCCTTTCCATGTAGTGGCATCCCGACTTCCCCTTGGTAATGTGGATCAGCCAGGCAGCCAGTACATTAACTCTTTGCCTGTTGCTTGAGTGGCCTGAGATACCCCAAATGGCCAGTTGGAAGTTTCAGCTTCCAATTCAGTGAAAACTCTGTTGCTTCCCTTCCCTTGAGAATGAAGACCTCCAAACGAGCAGGGGCCAATGTTGCCAGGACAGAGAGCAAAAGTTTTGGAGTGGGTATAGTAGCCTGAATAATGACCGTCCAAAGATATCAGGTCCTAATCTCTGGAATTTGTAAAATGCTGCCTTATAAGGAAAAAGGATTTTTGCAGATGTGATTAAGTTAATGATCTTGACATGGGGAGATTATCCTGATTATCCCGGGGCCCTAAATCAATTGCCAGTGTCCTTTCAAAAAAGAGGCAGAGGGAGATCTCACACATGCAGAAGAGGAGAAGGCAATTTGAAGACAGAAGCAGAGATTGGAGTAATGTGGCTGAGGTGAAGGAATGTTGGCAGCCACCAAAAGCTGGAAGGGTCAAGGAACAGATTCTTCCCTATTGTTTTGGAGGTAGTGCAGCCCTACTTATACCTTGATCTAGGCCCAGATGTTGAACTTCCGGACTCTAGAACTGTGAGAGGGTAAATTCTGTTGTTTTAAGTCACCAAGTTTATAGTAATTCGTTACAGCAACTACAGGAAACTAATACTGAGAGTTATTTAGTGTAATAGCGGGAGACGCCATTACCACTTACCTTCCTTTTGATTCCTGGAGCCTTATATGCTGGCTATGTCAATGACCACTGTCCTCTCCATGATAGAAAGGACCCAGTGGGTCAACCTGGCACCAGGTGGCTCAATGAATCCCAGTAGAATGGTGAATATTGGGTATTCAGCATCTGTCCGTGCTGATGGTTGATCAGACATACAGCTGTGGCATTAGCCAGACCAGCCTTAGTGAGGTGAGTCCATATTGTTGAGCCCAGCAATAGTCTCCATTCTTGCCACCATGACCACACTGTACAAGAGCATGTTGAGCAAGTGCTGGAGGGAATTCAGAGAGAGGCTGATTGACATCCACGCATGTGCCGTCTTAGCTGTCTGATTATCCATAGTCTCCCTCTGCCATGGATGCCCTTTGGTGAGATTTTTACTTGGGGTAGAAATATATTCATACCCTGTACCCATTTCTGAAGGTCCATCTAAATGCCTTTTCCCAAATCTTCCTTATCCGCAGTCCTATTCTGTGCTTCTGGGTCCTTGACCAGTCACATCATGAGCCACTGCCCAGAAACCAGTGTAGATCCACACTTCTTGTCATCTCCCAACCCAGGCAATGTGGGCAACCCAGAGTACTGACGGGTGAGTTGGATTTAGCCAGGCATGGGAATGGGTGATGGCAAATGTTCCAGCTAGAGGGCATAGCATATGTAAAGGTCCAGTGGCACCAGAAAGTGTCATACACGAACAGACAAGAAAGAGATCCCTGGCTGGGCCCAGAGAGCAAAGGAGAGAGTGGTGCAAGATGGGACTTTAGAATGAGGCAGGAGTCAAGGTTTATAGAATCTATAAATCACTCAAAAGAGATTAAGACTTAACCGTGAAGGTAGTGGGAAGTCAGTCAAAGATTTTGACTAGGGATCAAACCAGGATACATTTGTATTTTAGAAAGTTTTCTTCCCAGGAAGCAAGATGGATTTGAGGGAGCAAGTCTGGTTGTGAGGAGACCAGTTAAGAGACTGCTGCAGTCATCTGAGCTGGAGATGTTGGTAACTTAGACAGTCCCATGGCATTTCACTAATTGAATCAGTATATGAAGCACCTGCTAGACGTCAGACCCTGGCTCAGCACAATGGATGGAATGATCAGATGCAGGAGACCCAGTTACAGCCCTGAGGTCATCCAGCCCCTGGGGGAAACAGATGCACAATTACCCAATGCACACACCACTCTTTATCTTCCAAGTTTGTTTGGCTCAGCAAGGAGGGTTTGCAAGTGGCTATGGGAGTCTCCAAACTGTCATCAAATAGGGCCTTGAGAGCAGATGTGATTTTAGCTTGGTGTGTCACTTAGCTATTGCTATGTAACAACTCACCCTACACCTTAACAGCTTCCTTAATAGCTTAAAACAACAACAATTTTATTTAGTCTTGATTCTGTGGGTCAGCAATTTGCACTGATCTCAAATTCTGAGCAGTTCTACTGGTCTTACCCGGGATCACTAATGTATTGCTATCATCTGGCCTCTTGGCTGGGGCTGGTTTTTCTGACATGACCTCACTCACATGGCTGGGGTTGGGGGCTGGCCGTCAGCACCTTGGCTGGTCCACAGGCAGGATGGCTTGTCTCTGCTCCATGGGGCTTCTCATCCTCCAGGAGGTTAGACTGGACTTCTTCATATGACAAGAGATCAAAAGCAGAAGTCAAATGGCCACTGGAGGCCCCGGCTCAGAAACTGTAGCAAGCAGCTTGGGACTCAGCTCCCTGGGATCCGGGGTGTCCTGCATCTGTTATAGGTTTTACATGCTCATGGGTCAAAAAAAAAAAAAACATGCTGCATAGTTTCAAATTTGGATAATGTATTTCATGTACTTTGTACGGTTCCAGTTGTTACCACATCGTCTCTGTTTTCCCTTGGAGAGGGACATCTCTTCCCCTTCCACACCATTTACATACAAGAGGTCATTCTCTTACAGACAAGGGGGTAGGGAGGATGCAGACTTAAAAATCAGAAATTTATTTCCTCAGTTCTGGAGGCTGAAAGTCCAAGATCAAGGTGTCAGAGGATTGGTTTCATTCTGAGGCCTCTCTTCTTGGCTT